CAATGGAAGACGCTTACCCAAACTGCCATTTTCAGCTCCCAACAAGCTGGGTGTGCTCCCTTGCAATTAAGCTGCCCACTGCCTCTTGGACAGTGGTCTGCCACTTCAAATAGAACTTCAGACATATCTCTTGGGATGATTTCTCTGCTCCCACCTGCCCACTGTGGCTTTTAGGAGGGAGCTTTCCTTGGACACCAGAGGCTCTCGATCACAATGCCAGCAGTCACTGGAGGACTTCATACTGGCCTAGACCAACATTTCATTGGAAACCATCAGGTTGGGCTGAGTCTGCCCTTCAGTGACTTTGCACAGAGACTCAGCGTACAGCACTAGGGGAGCAGCCAAGGGAAGGACTGTGGTGTGTTGACAGAGCCACACACAAAGTCACAATGCAGAATTCCAGACACTCGACAGTCACTGTCACTCTCTGTCCCAGGACCTTCTCTTCAGCCCGTTCATACCACTTCCAAAACACCATTGTTTATCACCCTGTCTCCATTTCACTGATGCTCAGAACTTTTCAGCCATTTAGCTCTCCCTAAATCACTCCATCACTGTCTCCTGAGCCTATGAAGTACCCACTGGCCATATCCCTGGCTGTTACTGCAAATTCCTCCCCCTCCTTACCCTCATGCTCAGCCAGTGCAGCTGTTCCTAGAGCCCATGGCCCCTGGAATCCACCAGCACTTGGTGTGCTTGTGAAAACAGCAGCTCACCAGGGAAGCAACTGGCAAAATTCACCAGGAATGACAGAGCTGACAGTAACCCTCACCATGCTCTATTCTCAGCTCTGGAGCAATTTCATCATTGGTGCATACTCACATGCAGCTCAAGAGGTGTTCAATATATTACGGCTGTGAATTACAGGTGTCTCACCTGACAGACAGACATCACTCCCCAGAAGGATGTGGGGACCATGGCATATGCCCACTTCCTCCTCTGTAATGCACAGAGCCTGGACTCCCAGCCTGTTCAAATGCAAAGGAGCTGCTGGCACATGCCAGAAGGGTAGAAAGTCCTTCTAGAGGTTTGACATTGCATAGAGAGGTCTAATCGTCAGCTCTGCTTCCTTGAGAAAGCTTCCCAGCAGGCAGGAATGGGTTTTGCCTTGAGGGCAGAGATCTAGTGACTGTCTCCTGGCAGCTTTCCTCACCTGCAGGTCATGTTTGGGTTGTCTGTGTAGCATAGTCAGGTTTTCATTTCAATCAGCTGTCTCATTCACACACACTATCTGCTTTAAAATAACAAGCTGTTGTTCCTGCAGAGAATCACACATCACACCCTAGTCCTCCAAGAAAAGCCTTGTTCTAGGAGCTATGCATCCTAAGGGTAGCAGAGAGAAGGTGGGAAGGGAGTTCTGAAGATGGGGCAATATTCTATGGGGGAAGAATAGCTGGGAGAGAGATAACAACCCTAGCTTTCAAGCCCCGGTAGAGTGCGAAGAAGAAAAACCCAAGGGCAATGTTGTGAGGAGATAGGTATTTGGGGGAGTGCAACTCAGCAGTGCAGAACTGGTGGACAAGAAAGAAATGACAGAGAAACCTCTAGCCAGGACAAAGCAGATTGCTGGGGGGGGGAGGAATGCCAGCATGTCTTACCCCAACAGGAAACTGCCCTTTGTAGCTGCATGCCCAAGAGACAGAGTAAAGCCCTCCATGCCTTGCTGGAGAAAAGAGCAAAGGGAGGGGAAAGCCCTTCAGCATGAGCTTGGTTGTTCTGACTTCACTCCCACTTCATGACAAAGAATAGCCTGCATTTGGCAGAAGCTCTTGGCTGCTACAGAAAAGGAAGCAGTGCTCTGCAGATAGCACCTTTTAAATTCCACCGATAGTCTCACAGCTCACATCTCACATCTCACATCTCATGCAGTTTCCCTGCTGTACAGAGCTCAGTCACTGCTGCTCATTTCCCCTGTTGACATGGACAGAAAATTGAGCAATTACCCTCAAACTCCTCTCTCCCAGATTGCCCAGATTGCTACATACACAGTATTAAGCCCCCAATTGCCCCTGGCCAAAAGTGACTCAACTAGGTCTGTCCTTTAGGAATTAAACACTTTTGTGCTGCTTGTGAAGGTTTATTATTCCTCAAGTTATGATGCATTAAATCCTCACCATGCAGTGAACCTAACACCCCCATGACAAAGTCTAGTGAGGCATACCCACCTAACAAAGGCATGGTACCCATTTGCTATGCCTGTGTACTGGCATGTACCAGCATGTGTGCAGGAGGATGGACACTAAGTTCACAGTGGGTGCTGTAGGAAGCCCCAATATCCATCAGCTAGATGCTCCTGAGCTACTTTCGGAGAGATACTGCACTTTTTCAAAACAGTCTTTCCAGCCTGCAGTTTTACAGGAGCAAATGGTGCTTTTAGTCAAGCACAAGTCTTTGCTTTTCTATAACTCAATACTGGTTCCTCTTTAAAGTGTCTCCCTTGTCCTGGACTAGCACCTATGAAAGAGAAATATGAAACAGAGAAAATGAATTCTGAGCATGACCTGAGCTAAGGTGCTTCCGTGCTAGTATCTCAAGGGTTTGTATTGTATAGTATGGATGACTTGCAACCTCTGGGTTTCTGTGTTCAACTGTAACAAATGGCTGAAACTGCAGATCATTCCATGCATGTCCCTGTCTGGTCCACCCACTTAAAATCTCCCATATTATTTCAGTGATTCCACATAGTCTGTGAAGTGTCTGTCCTTTTCTCCCAAACTCCCAGGTTGATGAGGAATCAGATGCTATTTCATACACAGGCCAGGAGCAGTGAAAGAATGCTACTTTTACTTCTGAAACTACAAGGCATATCAAGCCCAAAGTCTCCACTTGGCTGTACAACCTTCCCTCCGTTCTCCTCATGCCAAACTGGGCCCTCTTCAGGCCCTATGCTTTTTTAACACTTTCTCAAGTGGACTCCAAGTTCTAAGTCTCTGGGTGTTAGCAATGTATAAATGACCACAACTGAGCACATTTCAAATTCACCATACCTCTTTAAGGGCGTGTAGTTTTGTCCTTCATTCTTCTAATGAAAAGGTTGGATGGGGGACGAACAATGTTAATGGAATGGTACAGCTCAGCTTTCTAATAGGTTAAAGGAAGGCAATCCAAATGTATTGGTTGACAGCAGCAATCATTACGCAACTGTGCCTGTTCATATTAAGGTATACAAGCTCACACATTATGCAGCACAAAATAACCGTGACCCATCCTTGGGGATCCATACACCAATCGCTTGATCTTTGTGTGTTTAGAGTCTGAGCTTTACTGTTACAGTTAAAGACACAAACTCAAGTGCAGTTCTATGCAGAGGGGAGGCTGATACAGCTCAGTTTACTGCACAGCCACAGCCACTGCATGCTGTACCCTGCCTTCTACAGTAGGCAGTTTTTCTGTGTCACTTTTCTTCACTGCAATTGCTCAGCCCACACAGAAAACTCCTCTCCCAGAATAGCTTGTTTAAACTCCCCGTAGAAATACAACCACAAGCATGCAATGCAGTGATCCATTTAGAAATTTTCCATATGCAAATTAGATCCACAACTCAATGTATCTGACTGTACCAGAAACTGCCTGGGAAGGAACCATACCAGCTTTGTAGGATCTTTCTTCTAACAAACAGATTTAATCCAAAGCTGAACTTTAGTTTGCAGACAATCCAAATTCAACTGTTAACCATAGGTTAGGCACAGATAAATAAGTGCAGTGTATTAGGATTTGACAGGTCTTTATACCACACTCTGCATCAATTCTATTCTGTATTTATTATCCAAGGTCTTGGAGTGCTGAAAGTCACATGCTGCAAACACATGACAAGCATTTTTATGCCTGGTTAGCAAAGACAGTTATTATACTCCGAGTACATGACCAAGGTTCAACAAGAAGGACAGCACATATGCAAACAGTCAAAGAGATGCTCAGAACAGACTATCAGCCTCAGTGACATATGCTGAAATTTAAGAAACCCAAGAAACTTCCCAGGGGGAAAATTTAGTCTGTTCTGAAGATGCCAATGCTATAAAGGTGCCACTTCTGGCAGTCATATGTTGCAATGCTTAATCTGTCTGAAAGACCCAAATAAGTCTTCATTTAATCTCATTAACCATACTGATTTCTGATCCTTTGTGACTCCACGTAATTCTTCTGATGCTTGGTGATATTTTACAGATGCAACTTTTTATCCACTGTCTAAAATTCTTATCCCTTGAAAAATAAGGTAGCTCCTAGAGACTTTAATGAATTTCTATGCCCCTCACAGTTCTCTAGTGCTTGTCTTGAAATTCATACTGCGGATTTTTCCTGAGATTCTCTTGACTCATCCAGTCCTAGAAGAGCAGGTGATATACATTATAAAGAAAACTAATGCTAAGTCAGGAGTCCAGTAGATTTCACAGCAGCCTGTCCAGGCATGAGATGGGATTACCCACCAGTGCTTATGTTAGCTTATGATCTATGATCTTGGGTTAGAGCAAGCAGATTTTTTAAAATACGAATTCCATCATGATAGAGACCCCAGGAGAGTGGTGCAGTCACTTGTCCTGATGGGAACAACACAAGGATGTTGCCATAAAACATGAGAGAAGCTTTAAGTAAAGTATACTATCTCCTAAACCATGGGACAGCAGTGACTTCTCTCCCTGTTCTTAACCTTTTATTGTGCTTTTAGCTCTCTTTTTGCTCCTGTCCACTATTCTCCATGTGAAAGTAGTCACAGAGAGAAGTATGCCCTCTACACTTTCCTTCTTTCCAAGGTCCTTCCTAATTCTGTCTTCATGAAGAATCAGAGTTAGACTACAGGTTCACTTCCTCATCCTCCTCTCCATCTCCTTTGCTCTCTCTCCCTCATTCAGTAGCTGGGAAGACCTAAGCAGCTCCCACATTTGTTTACCCCCAGATTGGTTCATTTCCTTCCGATTTCTTACAAGATGCCTCTGCACACTTTACTGGAGAGCCCTCAGACACACACGAAGGCACTTCTTGCAGTCAAGTAGGTGATAACTTACCTCCTCCATCATCTGGTGCCTCCAGGCTCTGCTGTCTGAGACGATGACTGCAGCAAAACACACAAAAAAATTTCAATTTCAAGCCCAGAAAAGCATCATGTTGTGCCCCCTTCCTCCCCACAAACCTCATGGCCTGTCACAGGGAGAGTTTCCAGGTATGCTTAGCCTGCAGACTGATCTTCCATACCCCCCATTGCTGAGCTCAGCAGAAATCTCAGCCTAGGGTGCTTAAGCAAGATACCTTGTGCCTAAGACAAACCCCCAGGCTGCAGGCAGTAGGGCCTGGGTTGGGTCTGGGAGGAAACCAACTGCCTTCTAATTTTCCTTCTTTCTGTTATATGGGAGTGACATCACCTACTCCATATCCAGGGAACTGTAGAATTACCAGCCCTGCCCCATCCCGGGACACATGACATGAATTCCTATCAGGCTCTGTACCCTTCCCAAGTTTCAGATCTTGGTGTACTGGTGGTTAGGGGCACATGTCCCTTCTCTGTGAGATCAGATAGAAAGGGTGTGGAAGAAGTCTCAGCAACAATGGGAACTTACTCTTCTACTTCTTCTGCATGCTTTTTTCCTGACCTGCAAGAGAAGAAAGGCTTACATTTAGAAAAGGCTAGAGAAAATTTTAAAACTGCGTCTTGCCCTATATAACTGTTCTTATGCAAAACAGTTCCTGCACCAGGTCTGATATAACACATCACACATTTGAAGAGTTCTGAAAAACCATTAAACCAGTGTATCAAAAAGTCCTTGAGTCCAACAGATTGAAGCAGAACCATCTGAGTCCCAAAAGACAGCCATGCCCAGATATAGCAAGAAAAATACTTCATGATTTTTTAGCATCTCAAGTACTTTTTCATCCCTTCTGCTCTTGGCTGCAGGTAAAGCTTACCTTACCTGAGTAAAGAGATCAATGTATTAAGCAGTGAAGAAGGTGCTACGGTTTGTCTACCTACCCCTGAGAGATCAACGGGTTCTTCCTTTTCTTGGTTGTGCTTCAAGATTTTCTGGTTGCCTTTTAGGTTAGGAGCCCCACCTGAGTTGGTCAAGTTCAGGTCAGACATGCAGTCACTGCATAAATCAGGGTTGATCTGGCTGAGTTAACAAGAGTTCATAATAATAACATGGTGGGGAGGCACTGGCAAGTGGCAGCTCCTTGCTCTCCACCCCAGCGAGCCCAGAAGTAATTCAGTCCCGATTAGGGATGCTTGTTCAATATTCAAAATGTAAAACATGGAGGTTGCTGAACCAGCACTTTGAAAAGTTAATTAAATGCCAGGTTTCTTTTTAACAGATACTCCATCACTCACTGATTGCTTTGGCCATTTTGCAGAGTGAAGTTTCATCTCTATGCGTTGGGAATAAATATTCTCCCCTCTGTTGAAGTCAGGGTGCCATGACAAAACATACATGGAGCTCTCCCCTACCACATGCACTGTCCCAGAACACACCAAGATGTAAGAGAAGTTGCCTCACTGCCTTTCACTGCTCCTTCCAAAGCACTCCCATGACATGGGACAGGCCTGTTCTCATCTGCTCTTTGTTCTAGCAGGTTATAGTCATCATCTAGCTCTCCTGTGAATAATCTACTCTTCTAAGTGCAAGGAGCAGGATATAGAGGACGTCTAGATATAAGGAGAAGAGGTCTAAGGAGAAGAAAGCTCCTTGTCTCCACTGCTCTCCCTGGATCTTGCAGTCTGTGAGAAGTTAAAGATTACACTGAACCAGTGATCTGAGCACAGTAACATCCACTGCTATAACCAGAACTGCAGCTGTGAGCATCTGGGCTTTCAGCTATATCTGTACCCTATGTTCAAAGGCAGAAATACAACAGAGTTGGGGAGTTTAGGAAAGAGGCTTTCCAGTGAGTATGAACTGTCCTGGTCCATCCTTCTCCCCAGTGGTAGTGCAAAGCACTTTTTGTGAACTCCATGATACTATGGAGAAAGAAAGAGATGGCTTCAGAGAGCCCACCACCAGCTCTCACTAGAGTTTAGACTCTGAGAAGACAGAGGCAGAAAGATGATTCAAGATTTATCCTATTTTATCCCTCCCTTATGCCTTCACAGAACTGCACCCTGCCTTCAGAGCCTTGCCCTCACTGCGCTGAAATATTCACAGAATCATAGAATTTTAGGGGTTGGAATGAACATTACAGATCATCTAGTCACAAACCCCCTGCCATGGGCAAGGACACGTCCTCACTAAACCAGGATACTCCAGACCTCACCCAGCCTGGCTTTGAACACTGCCAGGGTTGGGGCAGCCACCACATCCCTGGGCAACCTGTGCCAGTGTCTCTCCACCCTTATAGTAAAAAACCTTTTTCTAATATCTAACCTAAACTTCCCCTCCTTCAATCTGAACCCATTACCCCTTGTCCTATCACTGCAGTTCCTAACAAAGAGTCCCTCTCTCACTCCCTTGTAGGCCCTTCAGATATTGAAGAGTTGCTATGAGGTCTCCATGCGATTTTCTCTTCTTCAGGCTGAACAGTCCCAATTTCCTCAGCCTGTCTTCATAGGGGAGATGTTCCAGTCCTCTTATCAACTTCGTGGCCTCCTCTGGACTTGCTCCAACAGTTCCATGTCTTTCTTATGTTGAGGGCACCACAACTGCACACAGTATTCCAGGTGGGCTCTCACGACAGCAGAGTAGAGGGGAAGAATCACCTCTTTTGACCTGCTGGCCACACTTTTGTGATGCAGCCCAGAATTCGATTGGCTTTCTGCGCTGCTAGCACACACTGCAGCTCATGGTGACTTTCTTGTCCACTATCACTCCCAAATCTTTCTCCTCATTGCTGGTCCAATTCCAAATGATGGCTTTGTGCAGCCTTGCACAGTGAGATTATTTCCTGGGGGTTCAATCTAACCTCTTCTTAGCACGATCCCATTACTCTTGATAATTGTCCAACCCCAAAATAACACTCTCTTCCTCTGTACTTGCACTCCTTACATCTTTGCTCATCTCGTGTCTCCAGGCAAGAACGAAATACT